GCAGGGAAGGTGGGGCTCTGGGGAAGAGAGTACAACCAGGGCAGGCAGGGAAAAGGCATGTAGGAGTTTCAAGTGTCTGGAACACAGCTTGTTTCTGGATGTTTCTCTTGACTGTCCCGTGAGGCAGTTTGGTATTTTGGGTCATTGGTGAGGTGGGACTAGTGTCTTTAGTATAGCTTGAGGGTTCTAACAACTATTTAGCCCTCAAGCTTTGGAAAAGGGGGTGTCTTGCTGGATAAGATCAGGATGTACTTCACATGAGGACTTCTGGCTACCGTGAGATTACACACCTTGAGTTTCTTAAAGATATGTCTGGCAAAACTAGAGAGATAAGCATGTGCAAAGAGAGGCCCAGGCAGGTCCGATCCCCCACTAGAGCCTCCCAAGTGAGCACAGACCTATGACACCCTGGACTTGGAGAGAGGACCGCGAGTCACCTTTCTTGCTGGAGCCTGTCCTCTGACCTCTCATTTTCAGTCTGTCACCCCCGTCTTTTTTCCACTCTAACAGATGCCAAGCACAGGCAAAGTCAACCACCCTCTCGTCATCACCTGCACCTTCAAGAACACTCTGCCCATCCCCCTGACCAACATCAAGTTCTCAGTGGAAAGCCTGGGTCTCACAAGCATGAAGTCCTGGGAGCAAGAGTAAGTCTTCCCAACTTGTATTAATGATCGGTTTTGTATTTTGTACATGGGTCTCACGCACCTGTGTCATACTTTTGAGATGTAAACTCCCAGGATGTTACAGTAAAAATGCAGACACAGAGTGCTGGGTGCCAAATTACAGAAAAGGTTATGTTAGTTAGTACTCTACCAAGAGCTAGTTAGTGCTCTACCAGGAATAAACCTTGTGTTTCTTGCCAGTCTGCTTGGTTGTTCTTCAGAAATGCCAACGCATCTCTGTTTTAATTTGTGTTTCTATTTACTTCTCAGGTTTTCTTGTTGACTTCTCCTGTAATTCATTTGTACTTCCATTGCCTGTTTTCTGCCCCCCTAGGGAGCCATTGCCTTTTCTTATTAATCTGAGTGAAGCCTTAAGTCAGGAAGGAATGTTGTGTTGTAAATTGCTTGTAGGAGTTGGATTATTTGAGACATCCTCACTCTATAGCCCTACCCAGCTTAAAACGTGTTATACAGACCAGGCTGGCCTTGAACGTAGAGAGGTCCGCCTGCCTCTGCTTACTGAGTGCTGAGGTTAAAGGTGTGTGGCTCCCACATGGGGCACTGCAGTTTGTTTGTTTGAAGATACTGCCCTGGACTGCGAGGCTAAGCACTGCAAGGGAATATAAATAAAAGATAAAAATATCTATCTGGGTTCCCTGAGGGACAAGCCTGACTGCATAGGGGTTGATGTCAAAAGTATCCCCTCTCCAGGAAAAAGACATCGGGACGGGTATGGCCCTCATGCCTCACTGGACAACGACAGGGGGACTGGAGCCATTACAAGGGCCCCTTCAAATACTGGAGGTCAGGCCTCTATCCCCACCTTTGCAAGATTAGAATCACCACAGCCCTTCTATACTTAGAGAAGGGAGGAGATGTCAGGAGCAGCCCTGTTTATACACTGAAGGCCTAAAATCAGCCATAGGCCTAAAATCAACAATAGGCCTGTCATACATGTATACTAACACCAAGTCTTGGGTCTCTGTGGATAAACACTGAAACTGAGGGCTATAAGCTATTGTAAACAGGCAGCTTTGGTGACAATTTACCAGCCTGAGTAGTCATAGACCTTGTAAATAGGTAGCCTTGGCAGATATTACCAACTTAGATAAGGACAAGTGAGTCATAGGCAGAGTCACAGTGACCTATCCCCTGAACCCTCACCCAGCCGATACCCTGTTCTGAAAAATATCTGTATTCCCCCTGATCACCCACACTCCAGTGTCATCCCCTTCCCCACGTCCTGCCTTTTTGTGTTTATAACCCCTGTGTGAATGAGTATAAATTACAGTTTGAAAAAAAAATAAATAAGTTATATTAAAAAAAAGATACTGCCCTGGAAATTGAGTCTAGGGCCTTGTACCTGAAAGGCAAATGCCCTCCTATGAATTTATACCCCAGCGTAGATGGTTTTAAACCCTCAGATGCCTTCACCACTGGAACTCACGTTAAAATTTTAATCTTCTCTGTGGATACTTAATTTCATGTCATTATAAGTATATAGAAATAGTCTACACTTTTCCTGAAATTTATGGTTCTAGTTGCCTAGTTATTACTTCAAACTTTAGTTCCGGGATGGAGCTGTGCAGAGCCCCAACTTTGTCAATTAACCTATCATCTACCTAGTATTCTGAAACATCATCTATAATCAAGTAATCCCCAAATATACCTCAGTATAGGCAATCTGATTTCATTTAAATGTTCAGAGCAAATCACAGTGCTGGTTCTCAGCTTGCAGGAACACAGGATAAGTTCCCATGCACCCACATGTCTTCTCTGTAAGGGGCATGTTCCCAGTTGGAGTCTTTGCTGCCTTTGTGCAGAAGTGTTTCTCACAGTCTTCTGTCTGATGGACTAGACAGATGCTATAGATTTTGGTATGTCAGAATATCCAGTAAAGGATTTTACTTAAATGCTCTGTTCCTCAGGCCTATTTCTTACCAGGTGTCTAGATCTTCCAAGAAAATCTCAGCAGATTCCTGTTATTCTGGGACTAGTTTCTTAAACTTCCACAGATATGTTGATTCCCCATGACAACTGTTAAAGAACAGATTGTGGCAAGGTGGTGGTAGTGGTGTACACTTTTAATCTCAGCACTTTGGAGGCAGAGGCAGGCAAATCTTTGTGAATTTGAGGGCAGCCTGGTCTACAGAGTGAGTTCTAGGACAGCCAGGGCTACCCAGAGAGACCCTGTCTTGAAAACCCACATCCCCCCCAACAAAAAACAAACCAAACAAATCCCAAAATAAACAACAACAACAAAACTACATTCAATTTGGTAGTATTGGGGCAGGGCCTCAGAGCCTAATACACTCTCATGTACTGCCATCTTGAATACCTAGGGTTAGACAAACACCTTCTTGTAGATTCATCATTAAACTTGTTCCTGAGAGCACTCAGGAAGGTTTGTTACTGGCATAGCTGGAAAGCAGCCATTTCAGCGGGCCATCTTGTCCTACAGCTGAGACAAGTGGCCACACTCCAGGTGAAGGCCTTCTTCACTGGCGGTGCAAAAAGGGGATTTCCCAAGAGCTGCACTGGAACCGGATGCCTGCCTGGTTTCTCATGCACTACAATTTTCTGTCTATGGCACCTTTGGCTGACTGTGTGCCTTTGAATTTTCTAGGAAAGTGCCGCCTGGAAAGACCATCAATTTCCAAATGCAATGCACCCCCGTGAAGCCTGGACCCAGGAAATTCATTATCAAGTTCATTTCCAGAGAAGTGAAAGAGGTTCATGCCGAGAAGGTCGTTCTTATCACCCCGTAGCCCATTTGATACCATGGAGATGGAGGCAGGAGCCCTGATTGGCTCTGAGCCTTGGCTAAGCACGTTAGAATTTCCTAAATTGCATTTAGCTTTCAGGTCAGGGATGATTAAATTTGATTGCTCATGTGAAGGCAGAATCAAGAGCCAGCCCAGCAAAAGACAGAGCTCAAAGGCCAATGTAACCACAGGCAGTAGCTCTGGGGAGCCAGGGTACCTGGACACATGTCCTAGGCAGACATCTCAGATACATATTTAGGAATCGTGGCCTCAGAAGACAGTGCCACTGTCATCTGGATTCAGAGCCAAATACAGAGCCCAGATATAGAAGTAAGTGCTCGAGGTATTTTCCATCTAGACCATGGATTCCGTCAAGTCCAGGGGTGCCTGGAGGCTGTGTTGGAAGTCCTGCAGAAAGCACCCTGGAGCTGGTCCTGGGCCAGGCATTACATGCTCATATCCCAAGGCTTTGCGCTCTCAGAAGCAGGCCCCACGCTGGCGTGAGGCCCTCTTGGTCTAGATGGGCCACGGGAGGGAGACCCTTTCTTTAAGTAAGAGTCTATGGCCAGTGACAACATCTGAAGAAGCACTGTATGCTGCCCTGTTCCCTGCAGCTCTGTGCTCTGGTCTGCTGTTAAAGGATCTGATCACATATACTTTGAATTAAATTCTGGCAACTTTAAGATGGCTGAGTGGTCCCGAGTTAATTTTTCTTTTATGCCAGCATGCTGCTTCACTTCACCTGGGGAGAGTCATTGCCTCTGAATTTCATGGATCCAGGGGCTCTCCAATGCATTGGCCTCCTTTGTCTAGGCCCTCTTCGTGGTGGTCAACCTCTCTCAAGGACTGTAATTCTAAGTGGACATGTATTCCAGAGAGACTGAGTACAGATTGAATAAGGGCTATTTTGTGTATTCAGAGGCTGTTCTTGTCTTAGGGTTTCTGTTGCTGTGATAAAACACTATGACTAAAAGCAAGCTGGGGAGGAAAGGGTTAATTGCATCTAGCTTAAGTTAAGTCCATCTCTGAGGGAAGTTATGGCAGGACCCTGGAGGCATGGGCTAATGCAGAGGTCACAGAGGAGTGCTGCTTCCTGGTTTGCCCCTCATAGCTTGCCCATCATGTTTTCTTAGACCACCAGCTCAGGGGTGGCACAACTCACAATGGCCCTCCTATACCAATCAAGAAAATGCACTACGCATTTGTGTAAAGGCCACTCTTACAGAGGCATTTTCTCAGTATCTTCTCACGTACCTTTAGCTTGTGTCAAGTTAATATAAAACTTGTCATCTCTCCTTCATTCACCCGAAACCAGAAAACCTCAAGTCCTGACTCCTTTTACCCAGATGCCCACCTCGGTGGCACGCAGATATCTGGTACGTGCTTTTGGGATGACCTCTGTCTATGCTGATGGCCAAGAAAGATCAGTTAGTAACCCCATGAAACCACTGTTAGTGTCTGTGTGACACTTGTTTTACATACTAGACCTGAAAGGAAGGACGCTGTCCGGGGCTTTGGGCTAGGATCTCCTGCTTTAAAAAAAAAAAAAAAAGGCACCTCTAGCCACACAGGTAGGCCAAAGAACTTTTATTCAAAGCAAGAGGCAGGTGTGCAAGCAGCCTCTGGCCCAGAAACACTGGGCCTCCTCTTACAGCTGCAACGCTGAGCGGACTCTCAGGAGACACCATGGAGAGGCCATCGTGTCCTGGTGTGCAGGTACAAGGCCCAGGGCTGCATAGACTACTGCCTACATAACCCTGGCTGTCCAGGACCTCCTGGACATGAGAGCAAACATGGCTGAAGCCTGACATGGTAATGGGTTTGCTGAGGAATACGGAAGACTGAAACCTGTGAGAGCAAAATGCACACTCCAACCTTTCCAGGAGAAGCACTCTGGAAACAGATGGCTGCGGTCTGGAGTACCTCTGCTGGAGGTCTAGCTGTCCCCAAGGACGATTAGTTTCAGCCTCAGTGTGTGAGGACATTCAGTTAACAAATCCTGACTCCAGAGCTCCTCCCTTCTTTTACCTGCTGCTCCTCGGGGACCTGGTCACTAGCCCTGCTTTCCCTCGGTATGAAATCTCTGGTTACGGTTCAGCACATAGGCCACCCAGGTCTGTTTGGGGTTGGGGCCCCTGCAGCCAGAGGTCAGCTCTCTCCACATAGTGCCAACATTAGGGCCAACTTGGGTTCCTCATGTTATTGTTAACAGATGTTAAAGCAGACCTGCTTGGAGGAAGTCACTTGCACGGGGTGGAGTAGGCCACATCTGTTGAAGCCCTGATGACACTCTGTGGCACTACCTACGATGCTGCCCAGGAATCACTACCACTTGCTCCCTACAGCTTTCCTTTCTCAGGGTCGAGACAGTACCTTGATTGACTCATGTCGCTGAGGCCACAGGTTCCGTTGGCCCAGGGCTCATGTCCTTTTACCTAGAGCAAGAAGAAGTGTGATCCAATCCTCTGCCAGGGTCAGTACCGGCAACACTGAGGAATGGTTCAAGGCGTGAGTTGGGGAGTTGGGTGAGTTTCTTGGGACCATCTAACTGGTTAGGCTGTAGAAGCTGCTGCTGCGGCAACCACCGCAATGGACTGGGGAGTGCAGGGGGCCTGCCCAGACTACCAGTAACAGCCCGATACCTCAAGCTCCAGTGAGCAGACTAGGTCCAAGCTCATCCTGGGAGAGCAGTGTCTAGGGTCTTCCCAGTTTAGCGGTCTCCGTGTCCTGGCCACCATGCAGTTCTTTTTTTGTTGTTTCTAAGACACGGTTTTACTATGTAGCCAGACCCACATGGACCAGGCTCACTTCAAAGTAACAGAAGTCTGGCTGCCTGCTCCAGATGTTGGGGATAAGGCATGTGTGTGTCACTAGGTCTAGCAACGCAGTGTTCTGGAAGGCACCGTCTTGGGAGCTACTCTAAAATGCAAAAAAGGCCATTTTTGGTTTCACCTGTCCCCATGTCCTATTAAACTTTTTCCAGGAGTTCAATATATGTCTTCACCTAGCTCTTCTGGGAATGCATGCTTGTGGCCACAGAAAGGCCTCTTGCACTGTTGTCTCAGGGAAGAGTCTAATCTACAGGGTGGCGATACTGTCATAACCTAGGCTTGTTTCCATTTGGATAGGCTCTGCACATGTGTATGCATGCGTGTAGGTGTGTGGGGTGCACGTGTGCAGGTGTGTGGGGTGCTCTTTCAACCAAGCCTGAGCCCTGAAGGCAGGCTCAGCAGCCCCTCCTTTGTTCTGATTCCCAGTCAGCCAGCCAAGGAATCCCTGCCCTGGAAATGGCAGGGGTCTGTCTCTCTAGCTTTCCAGGGTGATCTTCCTTGATGTTAGTATCCCTTCCCCAAGAGCCTCAGCCTCCCCAAGACAGCCCTCAAGAAGCAGAAGAGGATCCCCTAACCCCGACATCCTGGTCACCATTTCCCTTGCTGGATAGAGAATAGGCACCCTTCCAGGCCTGGAGAATTGTTAGTGACCATCCCTTTTGACACATCCTGCTAATAGGAACTCAGAGAAAGTCCCTATTCTCCTGTACCCTCTATTGCCCTTCCCATCCCGTCACCTCAACCCTAACGGAAAAGAGGGTGGGGTGACAGAGCTGGTAATGCTCATCAGGGTGGCAGTCACTGTGGGTATCTTATTCTCCATGACCTCTATTCATCCAGCACCTCCACGGAGTCCCTGTCTTTTGTCTCCTCCATCTGGCTTTCGGCTGTTTCCATGTTGTCCATGTTTGACAGAGATGACACTTGCCGTACCAAGCCCTTGTCAATGGGTGTCTCTGGTTGACAAGGTCTGGTGAAAGGGTTGAACCAGTTCAGGGAAAAGTCCCCACCAAAAGCCTCCTGGACCGACTTCCAGCTGCCCGACTGCTCCCTGGGCTGTTTCGTTCGTTGGAGGCGTTCAATGCCCTGAAGGAGAATGGGGCATCAGGTCAGCGTGCTACAGGAACACACCCTTTGCCTTGGCGGAGCAGGGGATGGGAAGTCCAATACGGATGGCACAGCTTGCTGTGGCCCAGGCCACTCTGGAAGCCCCTTAGGGCTGCAGGGCAGAGCAGAAACTGTGAAGCAGAATAAGCAGGCCTGGCATTGGACTTGCCTGTCACCCATGTACCCCCAGACCCTTTCTACAAAGGCAGTGGTCTGCTACTGGGCAGGGACCAGATACCCAATGGCCAAGCATATCTTGGCTTCTGTAGGCATGAGCTAGGCTATCACCTAAGAAACCATTAAGAAAGGGGTCCCTTGTACAAAGTAGGACCAGCAAGCTTGGCATGGGCTGAGGGGTGAGGACACAGCACAAGATACAAACATGCAAGGGGAAGCAAGAGATGCCACATGCAGCGGGCACCAGAAGGTGCGCAGGCCACTGTGGGTTGTGAGGTTTGGTGTTAGACCTGTACATGCGGTAGACATTTCCCATGGTCTCTCCCAAGCTGACCACTCACCTGTGGTGGGTACTGGCTGTGACTCGGGCCCCAGGCCACAGAAAGAGGGTGATGGGTAGGAAAAAGCCCCAAATGGTTATAGATACAGACAGATCAGCTCTCCAAATCCGTATTATCCTTACAAAGGCTCTGACCCCCAGTCTGGCCTTTGCTTCCTCCACCTCTTCTGGAAGCTAAGGGAATTTTCTGAGTTTCCCAGACAGATATTGATGCACTCAGTCATGACTCAAGACCCTCTTCCCTTCCTTTCAAGGAAGACGTCTATGGTCCTAGTTCTTCTCTTCCATGCAATTTTCTTCTGTAACTGGAATATGGCACATCCTTTTTGTAATGCAGAGGCAAGTGCACAGACTAATCTGACCATATCCTATACCAATACTCCAGCACTCTTCCCATGACATCTTGGGGACTTAAGTTTCTTGACCTCTGTAAAAGCTGTCAGTTAAAGAATCTGACCTTAGATCAGTGTGGAGGCAGAGTCAGGTGACTCTCTGTGAGTTCCAGGACAGCCAGAGAAAGAGATCCTGTCTTAAAACAAACAAACAAACCCAGAAAACAAACAAAAAAAATTAATCTGATCTCATGTTCTCTCTTCATATGAGACTGAAGTAGCCCGCAGGCACTTTATAGCAGGAAGTGTTCCAGAAATGGACGTAGCACAACCATCAAGGTCAGAACTCCCAGGACTCGAGTGGATCAGTACCAAGTGCTCCCAGTTACAGCGAACCACAAATGTAACGCCCCAGTGCCCTTCCTGCCCCAAGCCACAGCCTAACCCGACACATGAGCAGCCCACGGAGTAACCCACCTACAGTTTTCACCAGGGCCAAGGTCTGTGGTGGAACTATTTTGGAACCAGACAGAAGAGGTTTATCCTGAATTTGATAAGTGTCTTAGAACCAACTATACACTTAAATGATTTGTATTACATTATATGAATTTATCCTCAATTTAAAAATATCTAGGTCATGACAAATTTAAGACCGAGGAACTGACAGAAATGGGGTCAAGAGACAAGTAGTAGCATGTGGAATCCCTGAAGACAAAAGGTGAGCGGTGGAAACTCTCCCGATGCAGAGGCTGGTAAGTTTCAAGAGTTTTGTTCTTAAAGAGAAAATGGATCTCAGTCTGCTGCATAGTTCAGGCTGGCCTCAAACTCCGAGGCTCACGTGATCTTCCCACCCTAGTCTCTTGACCAGCTAGGACTATAGGGGTGTGCCACCGTGCAGACTACAAGCTCCTCCCGTCCTCCTCGTTTTTTCTTTTTCTCTTCAAATACTTTCTTAAAAGAGAAAGGAATTTGTTGTTGTTGTAAGATGTTTATCTCTGGTAACACTGACTGTCATACAGAAGATATCCAATTTTGCTGGGTTTTATAAGTCTGAAATTATTTCACAATGAGAAGTTCAAACATCAAAAGAACCCGAGACAGAATAGTTAGAATGAAAAGTTGAGACTAAGTAACTAGTTCTATAAATCGCAACAGCGTGGCAATGAGAAACCATGATGACGGTGTTGCATGATGCAGGGCCATCCTGCGACCTGTGTCGTACCATAGGGAGAAGCATTTTGCACAGGACACCCTCATGGAGCTGTTACCGTCGCAGATGGTGTGTGTTTCTGTGGACTTGTCCCCATTTCATGTTTACACGATGGAGCAAGCATGAATTTTGTAATCAGAACAAGAATCAGGTAAGACCTGAGTTTTAACAGTCCCTGCAAGTCATGCACACAGCATGTGCTGCCCTTGGCAGCCCCTGGCCATACCTTACAGCAGCAGTGACAACAGAGGCAGCTCACTTGCAGGGACCCTGCATCTCCTGCTCGGTTATCACCTGCAGTCAGTCAACAAGGGGCCGAGGCAGTACAGTGGGAGACACTGGGTATACCATTCTGTCTTGGAGTCCTCCAAGGCCAGGAACACAGGTCCTGACACACACCTTGTGAAGAAAGTGTCAGTACTGAGGTCCCGAGAGGCTGAGACAGCAGCCCGAGCTTGGTTGGAAGGTTATGCAGAAACAGGACTGGTGCTTTTTTTCCCTCTCCACCAGATATTTTCCTCGTTCTCTGACAAAGCTTCACTCTGTGGTCTCAGCGTCAGGGGCAGGGGCAGGGGCAGGGCAAGCCCAGGATCACCACGGTAAAGTGTGTCTTAGGCTTCACTGGCCTGTGTGCTGACATTCCTTAGCAGCTACAAATACAGACATCAGCAGTGTCAGCTTTGAGCATAGGAAGAAAATATTCTAAGTAGCTTGATGCATAAAACAGACCCCAGGGCTTCTTTCCCTAGGAGTTGTAGACTTAGGTGTCCCGAAGGCAAAAATCACAGGTATGAGCCATGCCAGGCTCAAGTGAACAGAGTGACTGACTCCGTGTGCAGGCCTTGGCCTCACCTGAATGTCCTGGGGGGTCTGACATGTGAGCACTCACCAACACCACACGCAGCATGAATGTATGAGGCCTAAAGTTCCTAGGAATTTTAGGTGGCAGAGACCCCAAGCATAAGTTCAGGGCTTGTGAGAGTCCTGGAATAGGACCCCGATGCCAACAGATGAGTTGGCCAGCATCCCCACAGCAAGCTCTGTAGAGCTGACCAGATGATACCAGCTCTCTTCAGCAGCAGCTTCACATCCTACTGTAGCCCACAGGATGAAGCATCTTCCTGTGGCGACCCGGAACATACATGTACCCACAACCAAAGTACTTTGAAGCATCATTCAGCAGGTAATGTTTTTTTTTTTTTTTTGAGACAGGGTTTCTCTGTGTAGCCTTGGCTGTCCTGGAACTCACTCTGTAGACTAGGCTAGCCTCGAACTCTCGAACTCAGAAATCTGCCTGCCTCTGCCTCCCAAGTGCTGGGATTAAAGGTGTGCACCACCACTGCCTGGCAGTAACGTATTTTTTGCTGGGCATGGTGGTGCACGTCTTTAATCCCAGTACTCAGGGGGCAGAGGCAGAGAGGCGGAGGTAGAGAGAGGCAGAAAGGCAGAGAAAGGCAGAAGCAGAGGCAGAGGCAGAGGCAGAGGCAGAGGCAGAGGCAGAGGCAGAGGCAGAGGCAGAGGCAGAGGCAGAGGCAGAGGCAGAGGCAGAGGCAGAGGCAGAGGCAGGTGACCCAGACTGGAATATCGCAGCTCCTGTGCAGCTGTCATGCACACAGAAACCAAAGCCCATACCACTTTACCTGATCGTGTTTCAGAGACCCACTAAGGCTTAGGGGTGCTGTCCAAGGTCCTACTTTGGTAGTTAACTGGCCACGCAGGGGTGGGAACACACACTGAGGTTAGACACGTGCTGCCACTAAACTCCATCACCCCAGCTGAAGAATTCCAGGTGTCCTTCAGTCCACAGGAGAGCTGGTGGCACCTTTCCCCCAGAGGGTTTTTTGCATGTCACCTTGAAGTACCGGACATCGTGCCTCTGTTTTTCTTTGTCCATGGGAGAGTAGAGGAGGGAGAAAGGAGGCCAAGGCCCAGGTTTGAGAACATGCTGCTCAGTGGCTTCTCTCCTTCTGTTTGAAACAGGGTCTCAATGTGCTGCCTAGGCTGGTCTTGATCTCCGGAACTCAAGCCATTCTGGCCCTAACTTCCTGAGTGTTGGAACTACAGACACATGTACCTGGCTCTTTATGAAGTCTTTTTTTTGGGGGGGTGTGTGTTGGGGATAGGGTCTCATGTACCACAGGTTACTCCTGAGCTCTCTGAATGGCAAAGGGTGACCTTGGGCTGACTTTCTTGCCTCCACTTCCAAACTCGCTGGGTTTGCGCATGTGCACCTCTGTGCTTGGCTTCAGAGAAAGAGCCAGCCCTGTGAGTGGAGCTACCGTGGAAAATGATGACCAGAACACTGGCTGTGGCTGGGCTGCTCAAACGCTGTGGGTCTGGAGAGCTCACTAGACCCTCCTCACTGGAAGGCTGGTTCTTTGGTTCTACCCTTGTCTTGTTGGCTCTTCAGTAAAGGTGCCATTGGTCAAAACAAACTCAAATGACATGTTCAAGATCATTAGAGGCTGTTTTATACATTCCGGGTGGGAGAGGCCACAGATAACAAGAGTGGAAGGGGCCAATGGCTCGTCAGTGGGAATATGCTGGCCTTAGACACCATATCCCAGGAACTGGGGTGCTGTACCCACCACCACCTGCAGCAGGGCTAACCTGAAGCCCCCATCCCTGTAAATTCTGAGGCCCTGAGCTTGATTTTTAGCATTGTGCAAAAAAACACCGGCCCTCCTATTTTTGCTGGAACTGCTTGTGTTCCTTGGCTAGTTGACCCTTTGGATCTGGTGCACTTCATTTTGAAAGAAGAGAAATTGAGAATTTCTTAGTCCGGTATGGAGAGTCTAAGCCCATCGTCCTGGGGTGGGGTGTCTGTGATGCCAGTCTTGCATGGGTATTTCTTAATAAGCACTTGGTAGTTTGCCTCATTTGGAAGATTTCTCTCATCAGGATGCAAAGTGGCTGCACC